TATAACATGATCAATTGGGGTTTATTCTGGAAATGAAAGACTGACTTAACACTTAAAAAATCCAACTCTTTAAATTTACTAATATTAGTAAGAGAATAAAAAGCATATTATTTCAAAAACTGTAGAAAATATATTTCTTAAAATGTACTTTCCATTAATAACAAGCAAATCAGGAATAGAAGGGAGTTCTCTTATCCTGATACAAATATAGCAAATATACTGGTGAAATGGTGACCGCATTCCCTTTAAAATCCAGAACAAGGGTCCCTGCTATCACCACTTATATTCAATGTTACACAAGTATATACAATACTATAAAGGTCTCAGGTAGCACAATAAGGAAAGAGAGTAGGGGAGATGCAAGAATTGGAAAGGAAATAACAAGACTATCATTATTTGCACGTTTCATGACTATCTACATAGAAAACAAACAAAATCCTAATAGATAAATTATATAAATAAAAGATTTCTGCAAAATCTATTGCATTTTATATACCATCAATAGCTAGAAACTGCAGTTTTAAAACACTACCATTTTATAGCACATCAAAAATACAAAGAAATAAAATGAGACATTATATGCTTTCAAATTAGTCTGCCTCCCAAAAAATAAAAATAAAAAAACTAATAACAAAGATAATTTTAAAAAGAGAAAAAAAAACACACTAAAAACAAGTTAATTAGCCCAGAACTTTGAATCTATATCTAATCAAAGCTCCAGATTCAACCACCACTTCACAGAAAATATAGAAAACAGAGGATCAGGTCTCATTATACCATGGAGATGCAATAAGCTACAACTTAGTAAGCAAACAACTTAGTTTCTTCAAAAACAGACTTCAAGAGACTTAGAGAACAAATTTATGGTTACTAAGGAGGGAAGAATGAGGGGAGGGATAGTTAGAAGTTTGGGATTAACAGGTACACGCTGCCATATTTAAAACGGATAACCAACAAAGTCCTACTGTATACCACAGGGAATTCTGCTCAATGTTATGCGGCAGCCTGGACGGGAGGGGAGTTTGAGGGATGCATATGTATGTATAGTGGAGTTGTTCTGCTATGCACCTGAAACTATCACAACATTGTTAAATAGCTATACTTCAATATAAAACAAAAAGATTTTTTAATTTAAAAAACTTTTAAAAGTTCAGAAAAAACAAGATTGGAAAGAGCTATGGGTTGCATGTGCATGTTCAGTCGTCTCCGACTCTTTGAGACTCCATGGACGATAACCCCCCAGGATCCTCTGTCCATGGGATTTCCCAGGCAAGAAAACTGGAGTGGGTTGCCATTTCCTCCTCCAGGGGATCTTCCCGACCCAAGGATTGAACCTGCATCTTCTGCGTGTCCTGAACTGGCAGGCGGATTCTTTACTACTGCGCCACCTGGGACTCCCATCTATAGGTTAGGAGAAGCTTAAAAAAGCGTATCAACCAATTCTAACATAGAGATTTTATTTAGACCCTGACTTTAAAAAAAAGTATAAAAATATATTATCATTTTTATGAGACTATTGGAAATTTGGATATGGCTACAAGTCCATGGGGTCGCAAAGAACTGGACACGACTGAAGCGACTTATCCTGCATGCACATTCACAGCAGCATATTTACAATGGCTAATAGGTGAAAATAACCTAAATGTCCATCAACAGATGAAAAGATAAACAAAATGTGGTAAATACATACCATGAAATGTTAACTCAGCCTTAAAAAGGGAATAAAATTCTGATACATGCTACAACATGAACCTTGAAGACAACATGAACCTTGAAGACATCATGGTAAGTGAAATAAGCCAGACACATAAGGACAAGTATTGTACAACTTCAGTTATGTGAAGCACCAAAATAGTCAAATTCAAAAAGACAGAAAGTAGAATAGAGGTTATGAAGGGTTGGGGGAAGAGGAGATTGGGGAGTTATTATTTAATGGGTACAGAATTTCAGTCTGGGAAGATGAAAAAGTTCCGGAAATGGATAGTGGTGATGGTTGTACAACAATGTGAATGCACTTCATGACACTAAACTGTACACTTAAATATGGTTTTAAAAGGGAAATTTTATGTTATGTATGTTTTACCACAATAAAACAATTTTTAATACTTAAAAATTTGGGGGACTTCTCTAGCAGTCCAGTGGTTAAGACTTTGAGTTTCCACTGCAGGAGGTACAGTTTTGATCCCTGGTTGGGGAATTAAGATCCCACATGCTGTGCAGTATGGTCAAACAACAATAACAACAAAAAAAGAATTTCTACCTATCAACAGACACCATAAAGAAATCAAAATATGAACTTGGGGAAAATATATTTGCAAAACATACAATGGGCAATGCAATAGTATCTGGAATATATACATATTAAAAAAAAAACTCCTACAGATCAATAAGAAAAAGTTAAAACCACCAAAACTTTTTGGCAAAAGACTTAACAGAAAATATCAGAATTTATGCCAAGACTCTCCTCAGTAATAGGGAAATGAAAATGAAAGCAACGCTGAGACACCACCACATATCCTCACTTTGGCAAAAGTTGAAGTTTGATGACATCAGGTGTTGGTAAAGATATGGGGCTACTAGCATTCGGCACTGCTGATGGGAGTACAGACTATTTCAACCATTTTAGACACATCTGGCACTAAGTCGAAGATGTGTACACTCTATAACCTAGCAATTCCACTCCCAGGAATATTCCATGGAGGCATTCTTGCCCATATGTACCAAGAAACATATAAAACTGTTCATCACAGCAGCACCAGATGTAACAGCAAAAAACTGCAAATAACCCAAATGCCCACATGGAGTGAAGGAATAAATCAATTGTGCCATATTCATGCAATAGCATACTTGCTGCCACTACCTAGGATCTGTGAGATCTTGGGAAAGTTACTTAACCTCTCTGGGCCTCAGTTTTCTCATTAGTAAAATGAGGATCATACCAGTTATCAACTTCCTAGTGTCAATACAAGGATTATCACCATTATTCAAGGCTCTCAGAACAGTGCCTGGAAGACAGAAAGCTCTCTCTGTAAGCTTTGATGTTGTTAAAGATTCCTTGGTTCCTGTCCTTGAGAGATTCCCTCCTGGTATCTGACCACACTTCAGTCTCTCCAATTCCCTTTAAACAATGTTCAGTTCAGTTCAGTCACTCAGTCGGGTCCGACTCTTTGCGGCCCCATGAACTGCAACACACCAGGCTTCCCCGTTTATCGCCAACTCCCGGAGTTTACTCAAGCTCATGTCCACTGAGCCGGTGATGCCATCCATCTCATCCTCTTTCGTCCCCTTCTACTCCTGCCTTCAATCTTTCCGAGCATCAGGGTCTTCTCCAATGAGTCAGCTCTTCCCATCAGGTGGCCAAAATATTGGAGTTTCAGCTTCACCATCAGTCCTTCCAATGAATATTCAGGGCTGATTTCCTTTAGGATGGACCGGTTGGATCTCCTTGCAGTCCAAGGGACTCTCAAGAGTCTTCTCCAACACCACAGTTCAAAAGCATCAATTCTTTGGTGCTCAGCTTTCTTTACAGTCCAACTCTCACATCCATACATAACTACTGGAAAAACTATAGCTTTGACTAGATGGACCTTTGTTGGCAAAGTAATGTCTCTGCTTTTTAATATGCTGTCTAGGTTGGTCATAACTTTCTTGCCAAGGAGCAAGCGTCTTTTAATATCATGGCTGCAGTCACCATCTGCAGTGATTTTGGAGCCCCCCAAAATAAAGCAATGCTATGATCACAGATCTTTCCCACCTCCTTCCTCCCCTCTGACCCTATCCCACCTACTGCCCCTCTCCTGCAATGCTCCAGGCTGCCTCCTGCCTCTGTGCTTTTGCATGTGCTCTGTCCTCTTTCTGGGATGTTCTTCCTACATTTGGCCTGCTGCATACCCACTTTCTTTGCCCAAACCCAGCTCCTAGAGCCCCCGCCTTCTGCTCCTCCCTACCTCCAAGCCCTCCCTCTCACCCCTCCCCAAGGAAGACTCAATTGTCCTCTGGGGATCCAGAACATGCCAGGCTTCTATCTGCATTTCAATTCTGGTTACTTTGTCTCCTCTCCACTGGACTTTGAGATCCTAGAGGAGCACACCTGTGTGCTGAACAAAAAGTCCCATAAAAATCTAAATCCCAGACAGACCTAGAGATTGTCACACGGAGTAAAGTCAGAAACCGAAAAACACATATCATATAATATTTGGAATCTAGAAAAATGATACAGGTGAACTTATTTGTAAAGCAGAAATAGAGACACAAAAGTGGAGACTAAAGGTATGGATACCAAGAGGGGAAGCACTGATGGGATGAACTGGGAGACTGGGTCTGACATATAAACACTACTATGAAAAAAGGAGATAACTACAAAAACCTACTGTATAGCACAGGAAACCACTCAGTGCTCTGTGGAGACCTAAGTGGGAAGGAAATCTAAAAGAGAGAGAAGGTATATATATGTATACCTGATTCACTTTGCTGTACAGTAGAAATACAACATTGCAAAGCAACTATACTCCAGTAAAAATTAATTTAAAAGAATAAATAAACTGCATTCTCCCCCATGAGGGAAAAAAAAGTCTAAATCCTGTAGCCAGGCCATTGGCAGCCAGGCTCAGGGCACAGAGTGGAACTGAACAGGCTGGGATTCAAAGCCTGACTCCACCACTTACTTGCTGTGTGACCCTGAGTGAGTCACTAAACTTCTCTGAATCCCAGTTTTCTTTTTTTTTTTTGCTGTTATAATTGTTTTATTTATTTTTTTCCCCAGTTTTCTTAATCAGCAAAATAAGCATATTAAGACTGAATTTTCACACTACTATGAGGATTAAACATGAGATGATGACCTATGTGAAGCTCCTAGTATACAGTAAGCACTTAAAAGAGCTACTCTTAGGCTGTCCATCTGCTGAAGACATGTTCCTCCCTCACACACCTCCTGATAGTCTGTGGCTGCAGACAGGGTACCTGAGCCTGAGAGCCCGGGTGGGGTCAGAGGAGCTGTGTACCTCCCGAACGGTGCTGGGCAGAGCAGGGGGCCCTGGCAGAGCTGCCCGTCCCACGACTCCTGCTATCCCAGCCACAGAGTGGCTCTGGATCTCACTAACCACCCTGGGGATCAAACAGAGAAGAAAATGGAGCTTCAACCAACTTCTCCACCCTCCTCCAAGAATCTCTATCTCAAACCAAAAGAACACAACATAGCCAGCCTCTCACACCAGATTCCCAGTAGTTCCAGGGCCCAGCTGATCCCCCCATTTCATAGAGGAGGCAACTAAGATTCAGAGAAGAGATGTCTCTAAAGTCACTCCATTGTAAGAAGCAGAGCCTGACCCTGAACCTGTCTATCTGCTCCTGACACGAGCCGAGCTGTCTCCAGGAGAAGGTGCCAGAGCCCTGAGACGGGATCCAGACCAGCTGGGCACTACGCCCACACCTGCCCACACCCCACTCAGCCTTGGTTTCAACCACCTGCCCGTCCCTGTCGCAGCACAGCCTCCATTCTTCTCCTGCAGCTGGCACCAGTTGCCATGGCAACCGGTTGTTTGGGATGCTGTGGGATAAGGGACCGTGTCACAGAGTCAAGGATGGGGCTGAAGCAGAGAGCAGCCGTGAGTTGCTTCCCATCAAGGCGGGCAGGCACCTGCCTCCACCACCAAATTCAAACACCCCCTCAAAACACTGCAGACCCAGGAATCCCAATTTTGGGCATCTGGCCCACATAGATAATCTGAAATGGGGAGAAGCCAGATGCACAGAGGTTCACCTCGGCAGTCCTTGGAGAAGGACAAAATTGTATAGTCAACAACAGGTAACATTTCTTAGTATTTTTCTTGTACCAGACACTGTGCTAAATACCGAACACAGGTACACGGCATCTCACCTGCCCCTTACCACTGCCCAATGAGGTAAGTACTTTATTACCTCTATTTTACAGATGAGGAAATTATGCTCGGAAAGGTTAGGCCACTTGCCTAGGTCACACTCAGACAGCAGCAAAGCCAAGCCTGAATGCCAATCTGTCGGTCTCTGAGCTTCATGCTCTTAACTACACGACAGTGACCAGAAATGAGAAAAGCAAGTCCCAGCCCATCCTCTGGTCCCAGCAGTGCCTGTAGACAAACACAATGCAGGGTTCAGGGAAAGCACAGATCTGCCAAGTTGGAAACATTTTCAAACACTAAAGCATTTGAAAATCAAAGTACAAGTCCCAGAACAATGAGGCACAGCATGAGCCTACTTATATATAAAAAGGTGTGATCAATATGCAGATGTTCATATATGTATAGAAGTTCACAAAAAAGGAGACTGAAAGGATGCTAACCATTAACATCAAACAAAGGGCAACTGGTCCAGGAGACATTAAAAGGGATTTCCTCATTCTATGTTGACAACTCCACTGTAAAACAATTTTTAATAGCTAAAAAATCAAGTTATAAATTTTGACCTGCATGATCCCATTTCGAGGCAAAGAAAAGATATATATGCATATGAAAAAGATGGAAGAAAGGATATATATACCAAAATGTCAACAGGAGATAGCTCTGAATGTTGTTGGCATTATGGGGATTTTTATTTCTTCCTTATTTTCATGATAAACATGTATTCATTTTTTATTAAAAACTAATGTTTTGAGTGATATTTACACAGATAATGTAATAGCATCTCCAATATAATTACAGTATCAAATAGTGATAAATCACAACAGGCAGCTCATTGGTTCCTATACTAGTTCAATTAATTTGCTTGTTTGACCTTGACATGCTCACTTTAATCCGTCTGAGCCTCAGTGTCTGCATCACTAAAGTGGGTATATATCAACAGCATCTTCTCTATAAGGGTGTTAGGAAGACTGAAGATAAGTGCTTGGGAATAGTACCCAGCATGCAGTAAGCATGCCAGGTGCTTTTACTACTGCGATGCTAGCAGGGAATGTGCATAAGCAGGCAGTGCAGTAAGCTTTCTGGACAGACTGCCTGGGTCTGCATACTGGTTCTATCATTTACCAGCTGTGAGACCTTTGGCCTGTAACCACCTCTCTGGGTTTCATGTGAAGACTAAATCAAAAGCACTCAGCATACAACACATATTCAACCAAGGTAATAAAAATTCAACTATGTGACTATGATATATAAAATAGAGAACCAACAAGGAGCTACTATATAAAATAGGAAACTATACTCAAATATTTTGTAATAACCTACAAGGGAAAAGAATCTGAAAAGGACATATATATACATATATATTCAGTTCAGTTCAGTCACTCAGTCGTGTCTGACTCTTACATATATATAATTGAATTGCTATGCTCTACACCTGAAACTAACATGATGCTTCAATTTAAAAAAAAATTCAACTATGTCAGAAATATACACCAAACACAGCAATGCCATCTTCTGCCCTTGGTATATAAACATACTGACCATAATTATTAGTATTAATAAAATGCTAATTATTATCAATAAAAGAACAATGAAAAGGGAAGCAGTGAATACAGGGAATATGGCTAGGCACTGACTCCCTTGCTGTGTGAACTTGGAGAAGTTTGTTAACTTCTCTGAGCCTCAGCTTCCCCACTTGGAAACACAGGGCTAATGCCTATCTCACAGGACTGTTGTAACACTCAAGGAAAAGCACATTTAACACAAATGTATTTACCTTGTGCCTTATGCTGTGCTAGGTACATTATTTCACACCATCATCTCATTTAATCCTCAAAACAACCCCATTAAAGTGGAACTAGTATTCCCTTTTCACACATGAGGAAACAGCTTAAAAAATATTCCAGGGCCACTCAGCTAGACAGTGGGCAAAGATAGGATTTGAACACATGACTCACTGACACCAAAAGATAAAGATGCCCTTCCCATCCCAACCTCTCAGGGTCAACTTACCAATCTGGGGCCGCTTCCTGGGCTGGATTCTTCTGGTTGGTCCTGGTTGGAGCTGTCTGGGCATCTGTTAGTGCCCTGATCCTGGGCAGCAGGCACTGGGCCCATTTTCAAATGTTTAGCACACTTGGCATTTCTCTGCCTCGTGGATGGGCTTGAGCTAGACTTGCTGGCTCCAGGCTCCAGGAAGCTGGAGGGGGTGTTAGCAAATCCCTGCCCTGGCCTCCCCCCAGACACTGGTAGAGCCCCGACCTCCAGCTCCTCCTGGTTGTGTGAAGTGCCATGGCCATCACCATCGCCAGGCCTCACCATGTGCTCGGCTTCCTGCTGTGCTGTAGAAGCCTTTCCAGACCCCCCCGGGCACAGCTCAGGGCTCTGGAGCGGATCCTGGGCAGCTAGCTGAAGTAACGGTCCTCCAAGGGGCAGGGGGGAGTTCACAGGGTCACAGGGGCTACCTGGAGGGGTCCCACTCCCTACAGTGGGCAAATATTCAAACTTCTGAATCCCTGAGTCACAGTCCACCCAACTTCCAGCTGGGTGTTCAGGCCCAGACCCAGTGTCCTTGCAAGAGAGAGGACTGCACGGACCTCCCAATGACACTACGTCAGCACCTGGCAGGGGGTCTCCCACAGCCTGGGACTTGTCCCCACTAGGGCTCTGACCAAGCCCCAAGAAGCCACCCTCCTGACCCTCTGAGGTGGTCTCAGACTTCCTGCTTTTCTTTCTTGACCCCACATACCCACTACAAAGATTCCCGGGACATCTTCCAGCTAAGATGTCATGCAGAATAATCTGGACCCTCTTGAGGGCCTGAGCCCTCCCCTGGGCAGGCGCTGTGGGCAGCTGAGGGTTGAGCCTGGGGCTGGGCACTGAATCCTGGTTCTGTCCCACAGCTTGCAGCCCCAGGACCACTGGATGGGCCGTGGCCTCTAGGCTAGCCCCAGGAGCACCCACTGCCTGGGAGCTGGCACCTTGACAAGACTCTTCCCTGAGGACCCGCTTCCTGCTGCCAGCACAAACCGGGTCCCCCGAGTTCTCTCCTGACAGGTTTGGTGCCAGGCCTGACATGGAGCTGGTTTCTTCCACACCCTCCTGGAAAAGTCCAAGGCTGTTGAGGGGACTGAGAACAGGGTCCTCTGTGCTGCGGCCCGCTGGAGCCGCCTCCTGAGACACGTCTGTTCTCCTCCAAGGGCCCAGTGCAGAAGGCAGGCCCTGTGAGGAGATGGGGGGGGGGGGTCTGACCTGCCAGCCCACTCAGGACACCAGGTCAGTGGGAACCTCGGAGGCAGCCTCCCTTATAGGTGGCACCTCCAGGGCACCCAGGAACCACAGACATAAGCACCCCAGCGGGACACAGCGCCCCAGGTGAAGGAGGGGAGGGTCTCCAAACAGGGTTGAGCTACAGCCACCTTTTATAAGGTCTTCCCCTCTTCTGAGAGGTCACACATTTGCTTGTATGAGCTTTAAAAACAACGATTATTTATGAATTATGTACTTGTGTATTATTTCATTTCATGCTGGCAGCCACAGGCGAGGAAACTGAGATTCCGTGACTCGCCCAAGGCCACGCGCAGATAAAAAATGGAAGACCCGGGATTTGGTCCCCGACAAAAAGCCCAGCTTTAAGTCACTCAGGTTAATTGCCCATCCATCACCCTCACATCGGGCCGCGCCGGACAGACGCTCCCAATCACGTTCCCAGCCTGACCAGGCAGTCTCCCACCGTTCAGTGAACCCAGAACCCACCGACCCACTCGCTCCCACCTGGGGTCTGGGGTCTCTGGGCTCCCTTTCTTGGGGTTCGACACCCAGGTGTTAACGGGCTGAGATCACGTGATGCGAAGAGCCCCCGAGGGATGGGGGCGGAGTCTGTTGATACGCAAAGGGCGGGACCTCGGGCGTGCTGACGTTGCTGTTCCGGCAGAGGGCGCCCTCTTCCACCCAAGGGCTTCCGGGAGGAAGTGCCTGGCAAGGAAGGGCCTTGAATGCCTGCTTCAGAGTTTTCATCTTGATTCTACGGTAATGGGGCGTTACTGAAAGTACCTGAACCTCTAGAGAAATATCAGAATCAGATCTAAATTTTTTCCTCAATTATTTATTTTAATTACTGTTGTCTCAAATATAATTCATGTAGATGAACACGCAACACCCAAACCCAACAGAAAGGTTAGAAATTAAAACCTAAAAATGTCCTCTCACTTGCCCAGCTCTTGGGAACAACTTTCTTTCTTTTTTTATTCATGTGACTATGAATAATATGCTCATACTTCTGTTCCTTGGTTTATTAATGTCTTTGTTGTTCAGTCGCTCGATTATGTTCCTTTCTTTGCCACCCCATGTACTGCAGCTCACCAGGCTAGCAGTGTCTATTGACTAACTACTGTGTGATTTCATTACTAATCCTTCCCCCTTGCTCCTCCCATTTTTTGTCTTTTATATTTATATATTTTTTTGTTTTTCTACTAGTTGCTATTATAGTCATCTCTTTGATTGGTAAATTTGGTTCTCCAACTCTCAGGCACACC